ATGATATGGTTCATGAGGTCACGAAGAGTCATTGGTAAATTAATATCCCTTGCACTGCCGGTTGTGAGGGTCAGACTCAAAGAAAACTGCTTTTCCCAATTCAGTGTACACAAATAGAAAACGTATAGATTTAAACAACTAAATCTAGAATTTACATGGATTCTCACCCAAACAGATCTGCATATGGGAAATTACACTATGTCATTCCTCCTCCTGAAACTCTTTCTATACTGCACACATTTATATGGTTTGTCCCTTGTGTGGATCCTCCTATGAGAAGTAAGATGACTGCTAGTAGTAAATCTTTTTCCACACTCCATGCATTTATATGGTTTCTCCCCTGTGTGGATCCTTTTATGGGAAGTAAGATGACTGCTAGTAGTAAAGCTCTTTCCACACTCCATGCATTTATATGGTTTCTCCCCTGTGTGGATCCTTTTATGGGAAGTAAGATGACTGCTAGTAGTAAAGCTCTTTCCACACTCCATGCATTTATATGGTTTCTCCCCTGTGTGGATCCTTTTATGGGAAGTAAGATGACTGCTAGTAGTAAAGCTCTTTCCACACTCCATGCATTTATATGGTTTCTCCCCTGTATGGATCCTTTTATGGGAAGTAAGATCACTGCTAGTAGTAAAGCTCTTTCCACACTCCATGCACTGATATGGCTTCTCCCCTGTGTGGATTCTTTTATGATGGGAAGTAAGATTACAGTTTTGACGAAAAGTCTTTCCACACTCCATGCATTTATATGGTTTCTCCCCTGTGTGGATCCTTTTATGGGAAATAAGATCACTCCTAGTACGAAAGCTCTTTCCACAGTCGATGCACTTATATGGCTTCTCCCCTGTGTGGATCCTTTTATGACTTATAAGGGATGTATTTTCACAGAAGCTCTTTCCGCACTCCATACATTTATATGGTTTCTCCCCTGTGTGAATCCTTTTATGGGAAGTAAGTGAATTATTATGACTGAATCTCTTTCCACACTCCATGCATTTATAAGGCTTCTCTCTTGTGTGAATCCTTTTATGGGCAATAAGTTGACTGCTTATCCTGAAAGTCTTTCCACACTCCATGCATTCATGTGGTTTCTCTCCTGTGTGGATCCTTTTATGTCTCATAAGGGATGTATTTTCACAGAACCTCTTTCCACACTCCATGCACTGATATGGCTTCTCCCCTGTGTGGATTCTTTTATGATGGGAAGTAAGATTACTGTTTTGACGAAAAGTCTTTCCACACTCCATGCATTTATATGGTTTCTCCCCTGTGTGGATCCTTTTATGGGAAGTAAGTTCACTCCTAGTACGAAAGCTCTTTCCACACTCGAAGCACTTATATGGTTTCTCCCCTGTGTGAATCCTTTTATGGTAAGTAAGTGAATTACTATGACTGAATCTCTTTCCACACTCCATGCATTTATAAGGCTTCTCCCTTGTGTGAATCCTTTTATGGACAATAAGTTGACTGATTATTCTGAAAGTCTTTCCACATTCCATGCATTCATGTGGTTTCTCCCCTGTGTGGATCCTTTTATGTCTCATAAGAGATGTATTTTCACAGAAGCTCTTTCCACACTCCATGCATTTAGATAGCTTCTCCCCTGTGTGGATTCGTTTATGGGAAGTAAGTTTACTGTTTTGAGTAAAAGTCTTTCCACACTCCATGCACTTATATGGTTTCTCCCCTGTGTGGATCGTTTTATGAGATGTAAGAGACCCATTTTCACAGGAAACAGTGAAAGTCCAATCGTGATTTTTTCCATCGTCTCTGGATATATAACCTTCTCCTTTGGTTTCGGTTGGAGAGTGTTCATTTACAACTAATTTGTCTTTTAATAGTCTTACACTTTTTCCCTTATACGTTTTCTTTATATTTCCTTGTTGGGCAAGAAAGCCTTGCGTCTCAGCATCCATGGAAGATGAGCTTTCCTGATTCCAACTATTTGACTGGTTAATCTCATGTCTTCCTAGTTGCAACTCTAGTTCCTTGTCCTTTCCGCCTCCACGCCTGATGATTTGGAATTTTTCACTGGAATCTTTATTCTCATAGCCATGATCACCTTCAAAGGAAAAGAGAAATGAAAATGATAGCAAGGTTGGGGGGAAAGATCAAATTGTAGGAAGTTATATGATTTTCCTTCTGAATTTTTGCTGAATTCCAATATATTGCATGTTTGTATACTTACAATCACATGGTATAGAAATGATAATTTCTATAATCATGAGCCATAAAAGCTTTGAAAACATCTACAGCATCTGGTTTGTTTATATTTATCCTTATATAATCAAATCCTACCCAGAGTCAGTGTTTAGTTCAAGAAGAATCCAGGGAAACATCCAAGAAGGCATTAGGAGAAAACCTAACATTTATTGGAGGGGATCAATAACAGGAATGACCAGTGAGAACTAAATCAATTTTGAAATTCGTCCTTTTCTTCCTACCCAAACTACCTTCCATTTGCTATTCATTTTTCTCTTGCCAAAATCACATGGTTGCAGATAAAAAAAATTCTAGAGCTTTTCTATTAACCCTAAGCAGCATGTTTGCAATGGAAAAACAGCACCATTTTGCCCTTAACCCCTAAGTTCAGGATAGAAATGAAAAGGAAGACAAGTCATTAACCCAACACCCTGAATGAATGAGAATCCTTCAGAGGACAGACAGGGAAGCATCTGGGCCCAAAAAGCTGAAATCAGTGTGATGGTGTTGAGCATCTCCTCAAGCCAAGGAATGAGTTTCTAATTGATATGTTTAAATAGAAATGGAAAAATTCACCAGATGAGAAATGCATCTAAGCAGAGAGTCATTGACCTCCTTCTTTCCTCGGAGCAGGAGAAGGCCAGATGTTTTCCTTCTCCCTCCCAAGAGATGACATCTGGTTGGAGATTTTCTTAATAAGATGTAGCTGATGGCAGGTAACTAAGTCATCCCGAACTCTGATGGGAGAGAAGGAAACCCTTACCCAGAGAGACCACGTTGAGATAATTTTCCAGCATGACTTCCCAATGCAGCGCTTTTTGGCGAGGATGCAGTTGAGACCACTCCTCCTCGGAGAAATACACAGCCACCTCCTCGAAGGACACAAAACCCTCCTGAAGAAAGAAAAAACAACAACAACAGAACAGGCCCGGAGCATTTGCAAGATCTGTCCTGTTCTTCACAAATTCCCAAAGCAAAGATATGCACCAAGTTGAATGGCTGTGCTTGATGGGATTCCAAGGTTTAGGTGAGAAAATGGAAAGAGCCAAAAGCTTTTGACTGAAGAAATATTTCAGGCAGGACTGTTCAACTTGGTTGCTTCTGCAAGACTTTCAGTGCCATTCCGTGAAAGCAACCCCAATTTCCTTCTGGATCATTCAACCTACACACCTATCTTGAAAGGACTCTCACCTTCTTGAGAGAAGGAACTGGCAAATGGGCTTCAGCAACCCCACCTATCAGTATCTCCAATCCTTCCTGTGTTTGGAAAAGGAAATGGGGGGGGGGATTCTTTCTAGCATTTCAGCAAAGGGCTTACAGTGTCCCCAGAAGGACCATCGTGCTGATGCTCAACAACTTCATGAAAGTGCTGGGAGAACACAGCCAGGGATTTGGGTGGGGGGCCATCAATATCCAGAGGCACACAAGCAGGTTTCTTCTCCTCCTCAGATTGCAAGGAGGCTGTTAATAGTCAGAGCCATTGGCTGAATGGGAGACAAGAAAGCAGAGACAATTTTCTGGGAAGGACATTTCCCAGCCTTTGCAAAACCAGAGGATTAGAAATTACTTTGCAAGTCAAAAGGGCCTTGATTATATGCTCTTGCAGAACAATTTCTACTTACAGACTTTTTTATCTGGCCACTTTCATTGGATATTAATAGCCTGGCTTATGTCTTAATCTGATGTGCTTTTATTTCTTATCACTGGTTGGAAAAAAGGCTTTTTAAAAATGGTAATGTGCCAATCTGAGTATTTAGTTATTTTTGAGCAGCCCTGCACAATTCCAAGTGAAAGAATTAAAAAAAGAATGAGTCTCTGTTTAACAGTTGCTATGGCTGTAATACTATTATTCCTTATCTCTTGAGGAACTTTTTAAAAAATTAGTTATTGTAAATGAATAGTAGGAAGAGTAAGTAGCAGAAGGAGAGTTAAGTACTGGTCTTAAAAAAAAGATTTCGTAATAGAAATCACAGGGGAGAAATTACAAACCACTGTATCTCAACCACAGACTTCAGAGGATGCTAAGCTGACTGAGAGCAACTTGAATCTGCTGTTCCCCATTCCATGTTGCTCAAGGACAAGAAAACACCCAAGCCCAAACAAGAGGGAAAAATGGAAGGAGAGAGTGCTGTGTACACCAGCTTGACAGCCTGAAGCAACGGGAGAATACAATCTAATAAGATAAATTTCCTCCTCTTACTTGAGCTGGAGGTTCAGCCACTGTTTCAGCTCCACCAGAAAGAGCGGACAACTTCGTTCCAGTCTTCCCTGTGAGGGAGAGAGAATTTTAAAGTGCAGAATTAACAAAATAGGAGGAGGCATTCTAGAGAAAAGAAGACATAGAGAAGATGAGACAGCTGGGATCTCTCTGGGGAATGGGAGGCCCTTTCATTACCACCTGAGGTGTCCTGACTTTGATCTTCCTGACAGATCCTCCTGAAAGACAGCTCCTGACAGGGACTGGATGGATTCCTTCTTCCCTCAGGATCTCTGATGTCCACAGTGAATGACTTGAAATAGCAGGCAGGAGAAAAGAAGAAGAATTAACAGACATCACACAACATGAAGT